TCATTTTTTAAAATCATTTATCGCATATACGACCTCTGTATCAAGGATTGGAAAATCTAAAGGAACTAACCCGTATCCATGAATGTTTTGTGATACACAAGATGAAATTTGTATTTAAAAAGTTTTGCATATCTTGTTAAATTGAATTTAGAAAATAGTGTAATCCATTATTGCTAAATGTTATGTTTATAACAGTAGCACCTTGCTATTTATTTACAGATTTTATTTGAGTTAGAAGTCACTGCCAAAATTATTCCGAATCGCTTTTTATCAATGTTTAGGTTTCCTACTCGGAGACCATGAAACTTTAGGACCAAAGATATACAATTTAGCATATAAACGTATTCTTTTAGAAGCTTAGATTTCGGATTTTCTGAACCAACAGTGGTTTTCGATCAGGGGCGCAGCATTTTTTCTCAATCCATCTGCAAGAGATGATATAACTTTTTACGAAAGTGTACTTGCCCGATAAACTTTTTGAAGAGCAGAACCGTATCTACCCCAAAAACTTTTTGAGGAGCGGGGGTATCAAATATTCTTATGGGGGAAAATTGTAAAAAACCCCAAATATGCAAAGTTATAATGGATTCTCAGGGTCCAAGCCATAACATTTAGTTACCAATTTTGTTGTTTGTTTTTGCGTAAATCCAATTAGAAAATCCTTTTACGAACTTGCTACGTTCTTCCATTTGGGTACTTTGGACTATAAAGATTGCGTAATCAGTAAGAAAATGAATATTAACTAACGTGACTGGTTCAGAAAATATCCGCCAACAACAAAACCATTGTTGGAACTTCCGAGGTACAAAGTGAATGCATCACTTATTAGAAAATAATAGTGTACTTATAGTGTGTATGATATTTTTAATAAGCTGGCATATGATATTTAAAAAATATTACAAAAATGATCGAATAGTGAACCAAACGTTGTATGTAAAATGAGGCGGTAATACACCGATTAACGATGCGGCAAATTGCCATTAAACTTTTAAATATAAAATAAATTCGTACAAAGTGCCAGTCATTACCAGAACCGACCACTTAGGCCCGTATCGTCAGTCGTCCCTACAATAATTGTAGGACGCGTTTATGGCCTCCTTGATTGTCATACTCCTTTCTCTCCTTAAAAAATTTCTAGATTACACTTGTCCCGTGTCAGCGCTCTCCTATTATGAAGATATGCTTTCTTTTTAAATTGTAGGAAATTTCAGGCCGATAAAACATGATATAACTCAAAAGCAAGCATAATTTGATGCAAATAGATGTTTGTGAGATAACCTCAAAATAGAGCGCTGACAGGGAGAAGTAGAAAACTATGACAATCAAGGAGGCCAGTTTTGTACCGTTCAGAAGAGGGGAGGCACGTTCCCGGACCCGGTATGTACGCCGCTGAAGTGGTCCCCGAACTGAGATACCTTTACAGTTTCAACAGATTGATGGACTCTCACAGTGGTTGATTCTGGCAATAGATGGCACTTGTGCAATTGTATTTGGTTGGACCTCCGACAAAAGATGTTGATCCTGCTTTCGTTTGTTGTCTTACATAGAGAGCAAACCTAGATTATTACAAAATAAAAAATTGTAACTGGAATCCACATTAAGCTGTATAAATTGATATTTCTGTTGATACAGCCACATGCTTATCATACATTTCTATTTTGAATCAACAAACATGGTACATATTGCTATTAGAAAATATTACTAGACAATAGAATACTTTTAGTTTTGAGATATACAGGAACAGTAGTGAATCCTAGTGATCCCTCATACATAATAATTAGGGGAAGGCAATGATTGCCTGCCGGTGCTGGATAGTAAAATCCGTTATGATACATAATGCGCGGTTCAATGTATTTGATCCTGCAGTTTGGAAAATTAACTTGATGTGTGGAGATCAAATCGCAGAAGTCGCTAGTTATAGAAACGTCCACAATAGCTTCTTCTATTGTGAATACTGTTGCCGTTATCTGCGCATTCCACAGCTCAAGCTAGATTTGCCAACCTAAGCGCGTTTCTATTTTTATGTATTTTACAGTTATCTGTTTTTGTCTATGCGGGGTATCTCAATATTTTTGCAAGAATAAGATCAGAATCGGAAAAGAGCTTTTACAACATATTTCGCACTGTGTATCTATACAATATAACACAGGATGTTGTGGGCTTAAAAGGGCATAGCGAAATGGTAGATAATACGGACCGAGGCCTTTTCATACCCGAAAATAAAGAAGTTCTAATTTTATTTTTTTAATGATAGTCAGGCGAAATCTTCAATATCACATATTTCAGACACTTTATTGGACCCATTTTTAAGGAATTTTGCAAAATAACAATATTACCTAAGAGTAATGTAAAACTAATCGGACGGTTATAAAAAATCCAGGGCTGGATCTGATACTTTCATTTTTTTTTGTATTTTACACTTTTTAAACTGGATATTGACATGTTTGGCCATGTTAAAAAAAGCCAATAAATGGTGCTTATCAATTACAAAAATTGGTTGCGCCTCTTTTGGTTCTTTAGTTAAACAATCTTATTTATCAAATATCTTATTTTTATTACATTGTATGTTACAAATTTCAAAATAGCAGACGTTATAAACTTGTTTTCATAAACTTTTTACCAAATAATGCTTAGAATATAACTAAAGATGTTTTGGGAACTAAACATTCCAGGGCCAGTTTCCGTTTTTTTTACTTATTCACATTTTATTGAGTGTAATACCTTGTAAGTTTTACACTAAATTTATTATTATTTCACACAAAAATAGCAATAAATGAAAGAAACAATTTGTGTCATATGCACCCTATTTACTTTTTTCAGTTTTACTTTTTAATGAAATAATTCTGTCAACTGATGTAGTAGAACAATATGAGTTCTGATTCAAAGCGCAACGACATTTGACTCTCCAGACTAATAAGTGTTGCTTCTCTTTTAATCGTAACTCATGTTGTTGCAGATCACTTGGTAGGATTGAACTATTGAAGAATTACCGAAAAAAGTAAATAGGGTGTATATCATTAATTGTGTCTTTTATTTATATCATGTAGGTATTACTATTTTTTAAGATAACATAAAACATAAGCAAACCACTGAACCCGGCACTGAAATTTTCAATTCTCAAAACATATTTAGTTGAATTATTAGAGTGTTGATGAAATCAAGTTGGTACCGTTTGAAATTTTGTGTCACAAAAGGTGGTAAAAATAATAAACAAAAATTTCTAAATTAAAAACCGAAAGAGGAGCCATCAATCTATTTTGTTGATTAGTAAGGATTTTAATGCTTTTTGTGCGTGGTAAAACATTTCAATATCCAGCTCCAACAAAAAAAAAAAAATACCAAAATACAAAGATTTTAGAAAACTTCCGTCTATTTAGTCATACTCCTGAATAATTTATTTTGATCAATTCTATGAAAATCGGTTTAATTAAACTATTAATAGTGCCTGAGATAATGTGATATTACATATTTGGTCTGTATATCCACGAAAAATGAATTTAGAAACTTTTTGTTTTCAGGTATGAAAAGGCCTCGGTCAGTACTACCGACCATTTCACTATATTCATATTTAAGCCAGAAATAACACCCTATGTAGTAATTATGTATGATTAGATACATCTATGGCATCTAACAGTGAGATTATTTCAAGGATACCCCATACGAAAAAGTACCTAATTGAAAAGAAACATATATTAGCGTAATGTTCCAAAAGATAAATATTGTTTTGCTGCAAAGAAGATCCTGAGCTTTATTCATCACTTATCTAAAGGCTGATAGTGTAGTGTGAATATATGTAATTATTTGTAAATGGAGTATATATACGTTATATAAAATTTTATTTTGTTTGATTCATGCAAGAGATGTTCTGATTGTGTATGCTGAGTTCTCGTATTATTTGATTTACCTACTTACATTCTTTAATGAAAAAGGGCATATATATATTTCAGTAATAGCACCAATAAAAAATATGTCCCTTCAAAAATGTTGCCCCCTATAATTTTACTAATTTTTAAAATGTTTTTCTTCATTTATTAAAACCAGAGTGAATCCGGTGTGACCAACGAATTGTAATAGATTAGAAGAAGCCAAGTCTATATGCTTACATTGTATTGTTTGTCGGGTAACTAAGGCAAAGAGACGAAAGTAAATATTTATTATCACGGTACAGCATATGAACAATTCTGCTTACCTCCTAACTTCGTGATTTTTGAAGATGAACAATACCTACAACACATTCTCTCCATGAAACAGCAATCCATAGAAACCTTCACCATTCTCGACAACTGTCTGGAACATTAGGATTGTTTGGGAACCCACGCACTTTTATAGCTTTGAGAAGTACAAATTTAATGTGAAATGTCAAAAACTGTCAAGCTGGCGGCTTAAACCTAATCAACTTGTAGTATATGGATTTGCTTTTTAATTACTGACTACGTAATTCTGGCGACAAACAAATCGTAGGTTTGCTCCTTCTACCTATTTCAGTCCGAATTCGTTGGATGTCACTCCCCTATCTTTCAACCACCTAATATTAAAAAAATGGCACCATTTATAAAGCTTCGAGTAGCAGCCCCGTTGCTTTCATTATTTCATTTTTTTGGTCGGCTTACTGCAAAGAACCAGACAACTACCAAAAGGCACTTTTTAGTAATTAGTATCTGCATGTTTGACAGCACCTGGTAAATCAGAGGATTACAGTGGCCTGAAATTTTTATTTAAAATACAAAATTAGAATATCTATAACAAAACATCTAAACGGTTTTATTTGTAACAGCTACAGTCGGAAAAAGTAGTCAATGTAAAAAATAGAAAAATGGAGTTATCATGTTGATAAAAAAAATGAAAATGGAATTATTTATTATTAAATTTCTCGGAGGGTGCGTGAGCTCACGGTCTATTACGGATAGTGTAGTTCAAAAATGTCCATACGTCTTGGAATAAGATTTGTTGTTTCGTGAAACGTTCCGTTGTTCCATGTCAAGTGTCAACGTTAATCAAAACAAAAACATAACCTCCAAATGCGAGAGTTGAATCATAAACAATTTTTAAATTTTGCATAAAGATTATCCTTATCTATCATATTTTCTGCTCGGCCATGAGATAAGGCGAGCTACTAATCTCTTTTTTGTTCAACACTGTTTTCAACACGAATGCGTCAGATCCAAAACCTCAGTCATAATACCTATTAAATCACTAATGATTTAACAAAAGTACTCTTTGTGTTTTAAACAATATGGATATAATTCATTTAATCGAGAGGTAGCAGTATTAAGTGGACAACATTGGAAATAGAATCATGCCGTTTCTTAATAGACATCATGGTATGTCATCTGTAAAATAGTGATACATGTAAATAAATCAAAAAGTGCTTTCACAGGCTATGAACTTATTGAAGAAGCAAACTGTGTCCAAGAAGTTTATTCTAAAAACAGAAATGAAGTCGAATTTACGATTATAGGGTATCGGAGGAGTTTGAAAACGCAGTTTTATAATATCTTTTGTTTTATGCTTCTTGGTATACCACACTTGATTTTTGAATCCTTCCCAAAGCTAAAGGCCCTCAGATTTTCGAAATGTGCTCTAGAAATTGCAGAAATCATACTAGGTAAGTGGCAATCTGAAATAAATTATGAATATTGATTGAATTAAATTAAAAGAAGAGGAAGAAAATTATTGAACTTTTCAGTAATCGATAACCATGGACAGCCTACTTTGATAGAAATGGAAACACAGTCAATATGCTTGTTGCTTGATTTACCTACTAATGTTAGATACTTCAATTACCGACATACAAAATTCATTTGGCAACCTATTCAAAGAAGATTTGTTACTGTTGATGAACTTTTAAGCTCGTCAACTTTAGATGCACTGTTGGAAAATACATATGGCTTAAACGAAAGTGAATATAAGATTAGGTAAATGATTTACTGTTATAGTTGTAAATGTGAATATCTATAATTTTAATTGATACTGGATAACAAGTTTTTGTAATGAGCCAATAGATAGAGCCTTTCTTATCTCATATTTTATAACAACTCTATGCATTATACTTTTAGATATGATATATATGGACCCAACAAAATTGAAGTTGAAATAAAATCATACTGGACATTGTTGGTTGAAGAGGTGCTCAATCTGTTTTATGCATTTCAAGCATTTTCTGTGATACTGTGGCTTGTAGATGAATACATGCTTTATGCCATCTGTATCATTTTACTCACTATATTTTCCAGTATTACTTCTTTGATACAGACTCGAAAGGTAACTATTAAGTAATAGCTATCTTCTTGAAGCTAAATGTTTCAAAGAGCCACCTATTTTTGGCACATCAGGAGCCGTCTCAGGTGTGAGAAGTAAACATAAAATGTAACATTTGCACCTTATAAGCATCATCAATATTTTGCTGCCACATCACCAGAATTCTGTGGATATCTCAGAAACCAGTTGCGTGGCTTAATATATGTTATGGGTAGATCAAAATGAAAATGTAAAATGCAGTATAATTATCATGCATTAAATATAGATAAAATTCGATATCAGGGTATTTTTTTAACAAATACTAACTAGCAACATGATACCTCCACATAACAGATTGTCTGCTCATTCCTGGCTGGCTACACTCCCAACTGCTCAGCTACAGCTTGTCCGAATATGTTGTGTTTATAACAGAAAACCACAAATTGGACTAAAATGACATCTTGATCAATTTTTTTGAGAATTTTAAGTCTTACAAAATACAAGAAGGTATGGTTTTAAAATCAAAAGTTGCTTGGTGGCAAGGTAGCTCTCCCAAAGCTAAACTTTTATAATCATCTCCTGAAAACCCCCTAAATCCTTGCTCGCGAATTGCAGAGTTGAGCGATCAGCTTGCCAGCGCGTAGCAGAGCGAGTTTGAATGCGGTCGGTGGCAGAGACCGTCTGTTACCGCGGAGGTGTCGCGTTCAAGCTACAAAATGTAACTTGTGCCACTGTAATGGCTTGGCTGTCACTCAACACCCAACTCATCACACAGAACACTTTTTAGAATTTCTATTGTATATTTCAAAATATTGTTAGCATACTAAATTTAAGTTGATGTGCACTTTACACAGTTTTTTATATTTATTGTATTTCCAAACAAGTGCTAAATTTAAATTGAATAATTCTCGTCCTTCTTATGTAGCAAAGTGAAGCTCTGCATGATCTGGTAGAATCCTCAAAGTGCCATAATGTCTCGGTTCTCAGAAAAGCTCCGAAATCGAAGCCAGATATTATCAAGATAGAGCCTGTAGACTTAGTACCAGGTGATCTCATTGTTCTTCCTCCTGCCAATTTTATTCTGCCATGTGATGTTGTGCTACTTACTGGACAGTGCATTGTTAATGAAAGTGTACTTACAGGTAAATAATGCCAAATTATTGACTCATGAAAAGTAAAAGCACTTGTAGAAAAACCTTCTTTCAGTTTTTTTAGTGGTCCTGCCAGACTTTTTTTCAGCCGCGGACGGTCTCGACAAATTGGTTATAGCGCTGGTAAAAATGACAAAGTCTCTTGTATACCTTTTTAATGTTATTCTCTATCTGCTTAAAGAAATATTGAAATTGTTAATTTTGCAAATATTTGTTGATATACTATTTTAACTCAACTTTGTGAAGAAAAATTTTGTTATATTGTATAGATTTTATATTACAATTTGCCATAGGTGAAAGTGTACCAGTGACAAAAACTGCCTTACATTCGGGATCAGAACTTTATGACCCTGAGACACATAAGAGACATACACTGTTTGCCGGAACACATATGATACAAACAAGGTTCTATGGTGGAGAAAATGTTTTTGCTAGAGTGGTTAGGACTGGTTTCAGTACCACTAAAGGTGAGAGATCTCGGGGAACCAATACTTTTATTCTCTAAGATACAGTCTTATCAACGAATAATCACAATATCACAGCATTTTATTTTTTCAATTGCAGCTTGCTTTATAGCTATTTGAATAATTCGTACATTATACATGATGTTCCATCCGTGCCAGGACGGAGTATTGCTCCTAAACAAAAAGTATTTGAAGAAAACTAATTATGGATTATTATATAGCGTGGCCTAACGAAAACATCGCACCCTCATTTGTGGCTCTTCTGGTATATACGTATTTTACAAGTCAGTTTTTGTTTCTAGGGGCTTTTCATCTATAGCCGTACAATACAGGGTGATCCAAAAATAAGATATTGTGTTACACTTTAGATTTTTAAATGGAAACAGCCATATTTTTAACTTTTAGATTTTCCATGTTTTTAGTAACTTTTGTACAATAAAGTTAATACCTGTCTTCGATCTAAAAACTAAAAAAAATGGGGGTTCCCATTCGAAGATCTAAAGCGAAACGCAATATCTTATTTTTCGTTCACCCTGTATTGTACGGCTATAGATAAAAAGATGCCTCCTAGAAATAAAAATTGACGTGCCCAAGCGTTTTTCCAAAATATGAGGGTGCGAACTTTTCGTTGGTGGTATATTGTATTAGGAGGCATATTATTCAATCATCACAACTAAGCAGAATATCCCACTTTTGACCCACATATCAAAGTTGATTTTTTTAATGGAATGTCCTACTTTTTATTACATATTCGGTAGACCCTTTTGAAAGAAGGAGATTGATATAACATTCTTAAGGGTCTTGGTAATTAGTTGTTGAGGTTATTTTCTCTAAAAAAAACATCATAGTTTGATAGTCTGCTTACTTGCTATCTTGATAGTTGGAGTAGTGATTTTTGAGGCAAAAAGATTTTATTAACTCAATTTTACCCTAATTTATCCATTTTCCGAATTAGATAAGTAATAGTTAAGAGTATAAACTCATATTTGGTTATTCAACGAAAAGCTTATGTGGAATGAATAAATATAATAAAAGGTTGCATTATTATCAGGTATTTCTTTGTATTGCAGGATCACTTGTTAAAAGTATCCTGTTCCCTACGCCAGTTGGTTTAAAATTTTATAAAGACAGTCTTAAGTTTGTCTTTTTCCTTTTCACAGTAGCTGTCACAGGCATGGCCTATTGCTTGTATTTATATATTTCAAGAAATGTAAGTATTTTTATAATATGTATGTATGTGTCCATCTACTGAAAAAAATACATTTAAGATTGGAAGGCAATATAATAATAAAAGCATCACGAAACTGTCACAGCCTTGTAGTACTTAAATGAAATCTTTTTTAAGATCAGTTGTGCCAAGCAGCTTTTGATAGATGTGTAAGATTTAAAATTCTACGAAAACTTGTAGTGACCTCATTACTTTTATGGTTACATTCATTGCTTTTCATGGTTGTTTTCTGTTTTTAGGCAGACTTAAAAGACATAATAGTGAGAACCTTAGACATAGTAACAATTGTTGTGCCACCTGCTCTGCCAGCAGCAATGACAGTAGGAATATTATACAGTCAAGAACGTCTCAAAAAAATCGGCATATTTTGTATCAGTCCACCGAGAATCAATGTTTGTGGTCGAGTCAAAATCGCGTGCTTTGATAAGGTATGTACAATAATGTTGTTTTATAGTATTAGGTTAATAGAACATTATTTGGTCGAAATAGTATGATAATCCAACTATATGGGAATTTGACGATTTTTCGTGTTTTCTAGACGGGTACATTGACAGATGACGGTTTGGATATGAGCTACGTGATACCATCCAAAGACCAACAGTTCTTGGATCCTGTTACTGATGTTTCCACATTAGATTCCAACAGTGAGTTTGTACAAGCAATGGCAACTTGTCATTCGTTAACTACAGTTGATGATGTGCTGTGTGGAGATCCTCTTGATATGAGTGTGTTTGACTTTACACAGTGGGTAAGTGACCCACAATCGAATCGCATTTGTATTCTTTATATGTATCATACCTATTTCTTGGCGACATGCAGAATGACTCGATGTTGCACAGTGGTCTATTTATTAAAAAAAAAAAAACTGGAAAAAAACTTGAAAAACAAGTACCGGAAATATATGAAAATTATTTTCAATATTGAGTTGGACATGGAGTCGGGACTTTACTTATACTACTTTTAACGGCAAAATTTGGAGAGCTTCTATATCATCTGTTGTGTTGAAAATATTTGAATATCTGGAAATTGATCACATTAAAGAGAGTACAAACTTTCATTTGATGTAATACATGAATTATCATTGTTGTTTTTTCATGTACACCGCAGGTTAAGCTGATTGCGATTCTTAGCTTCACTTCTTTATACTAGTATTATTCAAAAATGTTTTTGGAAATGTTCTTGTTTTGCCCGTGCAATGACCTCCAAGTGACCTTCAAACGCCCTCATACAGTCAGGCTAATCCCATATTTGAAATCAGCGACCCCAAAAAACCTGTTGTACTGAAAATCGTATAAATGCTAGAAATGTGAACATTTTCAAATCTACCATGACTTTCATGCACCTTCCAGGAAATGGAAGAGCCTGGTGCTAACGAAAACGCAAGATATGACATGTTGGCTCCAACTGTAGTAAAACCTCCAAAGCACTCGATCGAGAAGATAACTGAACCTGAAAATTTTGAGGTAAATATCACAATTTCATGTGACATTCATACATTGTGAGCTGGGGCAAGACATTCTCTGATTTTTTATTCCCGTAAAAACGAGTCTGTAGTTACTTTTTTACATTTTGTTTCAGGTGCCGTTTGAAATAGGAATACTCCGCCAATTTCCATTTTCTTCCACTCTACAGTGTATGTCGGTAATAGCAAAGTCCCTTCAAAAGCACCATATGGTGGCGTATACTAAAGGAGCACCAGAGAAAATAAGAGGCATGTGCAAACCCGAAACGTTACCTCACGATTATGACGTAAAACTAGCTGAATTCACTGCCAGAGGTTATAGGGTCATTGCAGTTGCTTATAAAAATTTATCTGGGAAGTTTTCTTGGAAGGATGCTCAGAAAGTCAAAAGAGATGTTGTGAGTATTGAACTTCATTTTACCTCCTACGCCATTGGCGAGGCAATATTGTAATCGCGAAAATCACGGATCGAAAATATGATTTTATGTTTGGATATTATTATGTTCTCCTATTGGTTTGGTTTCCAGGAACTATGTATTTTTGCTCGTTATACACTTTAACTAACGGATCCTAATTATCATTTTGCAGATAGAGCAAGATCTTAACTTCCTTGGACTTTTGATCATGCAGAATCCCCTGAAAGTTGAAACAGCTCCAGTGATATCGACCCTGCGGTCAGCCAACATTAGGACAGTTATGATCACAGGTACTGTTCGGCACTTGTTGGAAAAATTAGAGAAATAAGGGGCCCTCTATCAGTTAGGGTATTAAATTGAAAATATGTAGTACTGCTAATCATATAAAGTGGACAGAAAAACTACGAATGGTTCCAGAAACGAAACTTACCTAGCTATATTATAGATATTTTTATATTTCAATATAATCCCCCACTACATCACTGCATTTGCGCCATTTATTTTCCGGTGAACTTATAATTTCATTATTTGTTGCTGTTTTTGGGTCTTCCACTTGTGGGGTCGTCTGCTATGGATTTACACCCCATCGAAATTGTTTCGACCAACATTTTATTGTGTAATATGATGGTGCATCATCCTCATAGACAGCAACCATTCTCTTAAAAATTATTTTTGGTTGATGGCCCTCTGTAGACAGAAATTTTAAGACCCAGCAATACTCTTATACAGGGTGCGTCATCTATTAATTTTTTTTCTATTTGAAAAATCAACACGCTTTTTACGAGGTGAAATCAAATTTTTTTATTGATAAATGAAGGTTGGTTTATGCCATTTATGAATGAAAATAACATCAGTCATGTGACCACCGCGGCTTCGTTTACAGGCTAACATCCGAACATCAAAATTTTCAATGACTTTTCCCAGAATAATCGAGTCTATGGCCGCAATTTCAGTGCGAATATTGCGCTTTAGGTCTTGAATTGTCCGGGGACCATTCGCATACACTTTTCCTTTCAAAAACTCCAAAGAAAATAGTCAAGAGGTGTTAAATCGCACGATCTCGGGGGCCAACTGACATCTGAATTTCGTGAAATTATGCTGTCTTGAAATTTGGTGTGCAATAAGGCGACTGTTTGGCGAGATGTGTGAGCCGTTGCTCCGTCTTGATGAAACCAAATATCTTCAGCACCAATACGATCCAATTGTGGCCACAAAAAGTCTGTTAACATGCCGCGATAACGTTCCCCGTTGACGGTAATGGCCTTTTCTTCGGCATCTTCAAAGAAGAATCGTCCATCGATGCCACCAGCCCATAATCCGCACCAAACAGTCACTTTTTTAGAATGGAGAGGTTGTTCGTGATACTGGTGTGGATTTTCAGCCCCCCAGAATCTGCAATTTTGTTTATTTACGTACCCATTGAGGTGAAAATGAGCCTCATCAGAAAAGAGCACTTTGGCCGAAAATCCGTCTTCTCTTTCCAGCATCCAATTAACAAAAACACGCTGCTGTTGATGGTCTGCCGTCTTCAGTTCTTGTCTTAGTTGGATTTTGTATGGATGGAGGTGTAAATCAATGTGTAAAATCCGGCGTAAAGTGGTCTCACTAATTCCCAATTGTTGCGACCGGTGCCTAGTCGAAGTGGTTGGATCTTCTCGCACACTGTCACTCACTGCGGCTATATTTTCACGAGTACGAGCTGGACGAGCATGTAGGTATGTTCTAAGACCTTCAGCTGAACCAGTCTCCTTAAAACGATTACCAATCCAACGAATTCCAGGCTCTGTAGAGCGTCCATGTCTGCCAAAACTAGTGCGAAGTTTGCGAAAAGTATTTTATATATTTCGACCGTTTTCGAAATAAGTTTGGATAACCAAAATGCGTTGTTGTGTTGTAAACGAATCCATGACTATAAATTGACAGTTCATTTATGCATACCACATGACTTTTGACTCACATGGTAACACATAAACTTATAGGTAAAAAAAAGTAATAGATGGCGCACCCAGTATTAGGATACCTATTTTTCGTCACAATTCACTTTCGAAACTGATTATCAAAATTAACTCACAAGTAAGCTTTTTTTTCATGGCTAGGTAGATTTCTTTTCTAGCGTCCCTCGTATATGGCATGTTTCTCGGTCGGCACAGAAAGCCTAACGCAGCTGCCACTCTAATGTATTTAGTATTTATCCAAATTGTGTCTCATTTTTCCGCATGTATAATTTTGAAAATGTATAAAAAAATTATGTTTTATTTTATGGATTTTCCAATTATATGAATTCTTTTAGGCGACAATATATTGACAGCAATATCTGTAGCATACGACTGTGGAATGTTGAGAAGTCACGATGATGTATTTGTACTGACAGCATCCAATGACGAGGTTGATACAAGGTTTATGTTGGAGAGAACAGGCTTGAATAGATCTACCGACAATGTTGTAATAAATTTTGATTCTAGTGTGAGTATTTTTTCACCTTACCGTACTTATTTCAAGGTGAACTATTATGCTATAAGTTTACCCTAACACTCCTATTGATATAAAGAATCGGAACTATCGATATGCCTACGTTTTCTCTGTGAGGTAACCCATGTTAAACCTTGGTTTCTAGTCATGGGTCAATGTCAACTTTCAAACAATACCAATTTGCAAGACTTGTTCAATTATTGTATGTTCAAACTGTTCAGAAAATAAAGCTGTGCCTCTGTCTTAGTGGGTCTTATTTTAAGATTTTTAATTTTAAAAAAAATATTGTTTTATAGTAGGATAAGATTGACACTTGTGTAGCGACCATGTATTTATTTTGAGTAATGACCATTAAATATATTAGATGGTCAGTTAGTTTTTCTATAATATTTAAATTTATTTTAGCATCATCACATAGCAGTTGACGGTAGGACATGGAGTAAATTGAAATACTGCTATCCAGAGGCGGTACCTGATCTTTTGGTGAAAACCACCATATTTGCGAGATTTCAACCTGACCAAAAGGCTGAAGTAGTGACTCACTTACAAGAGCTTGATTATATCGTTTCCATGGTTGGAGACGGCGCAAACGACTGTGGGGTAAGATTAATGCTATATTTTGTATGCCAGGAAAAAAATGCTGCAGAATGTATCACAAATGATTCCGAAAAAAAAACATGTTGAAAGTCGATTCCGTCGAGAGTTGAAAAATGTCAAATATTTTCTGCCAGCGATTCCATGCAAGAGGAAAATATTGAGGGTATCACAGAAACTGGTAGGAGTGGCCGTATCATATGAGGAACTGTTGGATCCTTCTCCTGATCATGATTTTGATCCTGTAAGATATTTACTACCATCCACTGATTTTTGATCACTATTAACCATTCAGCTACCACATACCCCTCAGTAGTGTCACACGAGACAGCTTGAGACTTTTGGCGTATTCATGACTCTAGCCTTCAGCTATTGATTAAAATAACAAAAATAAGCTTGATGATATTCTCTGTGGAAGACACTCTTCGCACTTTCAGTAATATTTTCAATTAATATATCCTACATTACAAGCCAAGAATTGTGTATATTTCATGTATAATCTTTGGCAACGACGCATATTTTCCGCTGACGTTCCATTGTCTTACAATCTCTCGCTGGGCAGATCATATTCCACAGTGGAAAAGTTCCATAAATATGTGTGTGTTTTGTAGATCTATACCTTACATTGCCTAATAAGCAGTCTTAATTTTATCAGTCTAGGTAGTGTCTTCAGATTTGCTCCCCTTTTAACGAGTGTGTGTGTGTTGCAGGCACAAAATGGACCAAGGATTCGGTGGTTAAAGTTTGTCTGCATACTTTATTAACACCATGTACATTGAGCGCGCGCTTAATTAACATTTAGAAAACAAAGGTATATAAAAATACCCCTTAAAATGCTTTGGGATTTTGCTAATTATATATAAACTTTGGTGCCATTAAAAAGTTTGTCTTTTCATATTGTTTGTCGGTAGAAAATGGAATTTTTTACACTTTTTCAAGTCATCTATAGGGAATAGTTATAAAGTACCTTTTTTGTTCAGAATGTAAAAAAAAGAAAAACACTTTAACGCCAAACATTTTTAGAATTTGTTTAAACAACTGATTAACTAATTCTTTATTCAATTTATGACTGGCAATATGCAGATTCGATCCTTTTCGAGAAAATATTATGCAAAGATACTACCTAGACTATATGGAAGCAGGACTTCTCTTATATATACTCTTATCAGATTCACCTATTAAATTTCTTCTAGGCTTTGAAAGCAGCTCATGTAGGGGTGTCCTTATCACCAGCTGAAGCCAGTGTTGCAGCACCTTTTACTTCAAAAATACAAAATATATCTTGTATAGTCAATTTGTTGCTAGAGGGCAGATGTGCGTTGGTTACCAGTTTTGCTATATTTAAGTATATGGCTTTGTACAGCTTGATACAGTTCTTCACCATCCTCATTTTATACCGAGTAAGTAGAATTATCGCTCCACTCTTATATTTTTTGTTTCTTTCATATTAACTGTTTGTTTGCACTCATTTCATTTACGTTTTTTGGATTTTTGTTTTAGCAACATTCATTACTGGGGGACTACCAATTTTTATTTATAGACTTGATTATAACTACTAGCTTAGCCGTAACCATAGGTAGACAAGGTAATGCTATTTTCACTGTTTATTACAAAAAAGTTTGGTTCATGCTGTAAACTTGGTTATTGAAAAAACTGGAATCAGCACATGATTCAGAAGACATACTAACACACGTTTTAGTGCCTGGACATGTGAGCGTTAAATTGACGCGCTGCAAAAAACGCGCATTTATTTCTCGTTACAGCAAGTAGCACACGTATTACAACACGTGTTTTCTATGCGGCTAACACCGTAGATGTTGCTCACACGCACCAGTAATTCGTAACTTAAAAAGTGACATATGGATTTTTTATGACATTATTTAGGTTTTTTGCCATTATGCAGGTTTTCTTATAAAATGCCATCTGTGAACTTGTAGTAAGTGCGGAATGAACTAGCGGTACACTATCAACTACCTAGTGCACAAGATTTTTTTTGACATTATATATAGGGTGTTCCTTAATGATATGCAAATACTTAAGGGTGTAGATCTACATGAAAAATTAATGTTAGTTTGCTTTATAAACTATGGCCCAAAAACGTTTCCTTACAAAAATTCGGGGTGTTGAAGTTTTAGGAAAAAAATGGAAATTAATGAATATTTTCAGAACCGATCAGATATTTCACTGATATTTAGTACTTAGTGAAAGTTAATAAAGTTGCATATTTTTCGATGCAAAGATAATGTTTAACTTTAACAGTGGCGTGCGTACGGGTATTGACTTCGATATTTTTTAAGAAAAAAACGGTAATAAAAATTATTTTTGAATTCCCCGTTCAATTTGAAACAAATGATCTCTCTTGAATTGTTTAGCAATAAATATCTAGTTGCTCTGGAATATGTCATTGGAATTTGACATCTGACAAGCCTTTGTTGTTCAAATCTGTTCGCTGTGACATCTTTTTCATTATTTAGTTTGACAATCTTGTTAATAATGGTGATTTATTCAAATGCCGAAATGGCGGAAATGCATTACGTATAGTATATGGCCTTGCCGACGGTAATGGTGAGCAAGCCAGACGGATTTATCACCAGAGATATCCCGATCGTGCTTTGCCAGATAGTCGAACCCTTTCTAATATTCATCGTCGTCTTGTTGAAACTGGTTCTGTCCGAAAATGAACATCTGAAGGTAGACCTCTAAGTGTGAGAACACCAGAAATTAAGGAAGCAGTGCTGCACGAAGTCGAAAAACATCCTGAAACGAGTACGCTAGACACTTAAATATTTGCCATCAAATTGTTTGGAGAATTTTAGTGGAATTTTTGTTATATCCTTACTATATTTTAAGGGTACAGGCATTACTTCTCATTGATTTTCCAAGGCGTGTGGCCTTTTGTCCGTGGTATCTTCAAAAAATTACACAAAATCCGCAATTTGAATCAATGATTCTGTTCACGGACGAAGCTAATTTTTCTCGAAACGCCTTTCAGAATTTCCACAATAATCATTTGCGGGCAGAAGAAGATCCCTATGCCGTAACCGAAACCCATTTCCAACATCAATTTTCGGTTAACGTATGGACAGGAATTATTGGCAACCACTTTATTGGCCCATTCTTCTTGCCGGGTTGACTTGACGGACAGACTTACCTCTTCAATAATAGTTGCCTTTGATGCTTGATGATGTTCCGTTAGTAATAAGAAACAATATGTGGTACATGCATGATGGTGCACCAGCGCATTTCAGTTTCGCGGTTCGTAATTATTTACAAACTGTTTATCCAAATCGTTGGATTGGCCGCGGTGGGCCCCAAGAATGGCCACCAACGTCCCCGGTCCTCAACAGTATAGATTTCTTTTTGTGGGGCTATCTTAAGACACTACTGTACACAAGTCCCATTAACACTATAGAGGAATTAAGAGAAAGAATAGTTGCAGCTTGTGATACATTTTCAACAATTTTTGTAATCATCTCGTTGCTTCTAGTGTTATGATTATGTTGTTAGTTGTTGTTGTTCATTACTCCTAATGTGTTTAATTTTCCCAATTAAACTAATAATAATTTTGCAATAGACAATAGAATGGTTTTTATTTTTTTACTCCAAAATGGCGCATCGAAGGAAAACAATTCAAGAGAGGTCATTTGTTTTAAATTGAACGGGGAACTCAAAAATAATTTTTATTTGGCAAAAAACCATTGGCGTACCATTTTTTTCTTAAAAAATATCGAAGTCAATACCCGTACGCACGCCACTGTTAAAGCTAAAAATAATTTTTGCATTGAAAAATATGCAGCTTTATTAACTTTCACTACGTACTAAATATCAGTGAAATATCTGAAGCGGTTCTGAAAATATTCATTAATTTCCATTTTTTTCCTAAAACTTCAACACACCGAGTTTTTATAAGGAAATATTTTTGGACGATAGTTTATAAAGCAAACTAACATTAATTTTTCATGTAGATTCACACCCTTAAAAATTCGCATATCGTTAAGGAACACCCTGTATATCTTTTATGTAATAACCTTGCGGGTCTTTCACGTGAGAAGTAAACTTCCCGGGAGATCAAAGGAGGAATGTACCTATGTCAGCGAATGTTGTTTAAATAAGGACCGCAGATGTTATTTAGAGGTCAGCTTTGTAAATTAAAATAGCAAGCAGCAATTGTATATGCAAATTCGTAAAGAGTGTCGGATTCTACGCCAACACTGTAAAAGTTCTCTTCCATACATAGACGGTAAGAGTTGAAGGAGTTTGTGTACCTTTAAAACTTTACTGTCTGGGTTAGGAATATCATTACCAGACGTATTGTGGGCAAGCGCACCTACACCTTAAAATGGATGTTGCTTTAATAAACTTGACCTCTAAATAACCTCCAAGGCCGTCGGTTGGTCATAATTGTAATACAAACTTGAGTGTTCTATAGAAGCAGAATTTACGGCAACGACTTCAACAACCGGCAGGGTTATTACGTAAAAATCTTGATGTCAAAAAAATCCAATGTAATGTTAAATTGGTCAAATGAGGTAGCCGCTAGTGCACATCTAGTGCATACCGTTCATAGACGTTATGCTACGAGAGGACATGGAGTGAACGACAGCTAGTTTCAAGTTGACATTCAGTAGGTAAAATATGACGTTACGAGGTCTGTAAATTAAGTGATGAGACTGATTTTTAAAAAAAAATTATTCAAATATAATTACAATTTATATTGTCACCATAAAAATAACTTCCTTCTGAAGCCACACAGCGCTGAAGTCGGTTCTTCCACTCCTCATAGCAGTGCTGCAACTCCGATACTAGAATAGCCTTCAGCTGGTCTGTCACAGCCGTTTTTCCAATTTTCCAATTTCGGGAAGAGAAAAAACTAGCAAGGACTCAAGTCATGTCAATAAGGAGTCTGAGGAGCCACAATTCTTCTTCGATCATTCTGACTGTCAACCGACGATCTGAACGCACAAGATCCCGAATTCTGTCGATATTTTTAACGGTTCTTGAAGATGAAGGCCTCCCGCTTCGTGGTTTATCTTCAATCTACTATCTCCTTTCTGAAAATGCCTTAACCACCAAAAAACCTGGGCTCTTCACAAAACACCATCTCCGTAGGCCTCGTGAAGCTCTTAAGAGTGCCCAAGTCTGAAGCAAATCCTGATAGCGCACCGTTGCTCGAAATTGATGCCATTCATTTTGAGAATACAATAGGAAAAACTGTTTCACAAAAAAAATCGCTACCAAATGGCCCGAGCGAGTTCAAACTTGTACTAAAGGCGGAGCATAAGTTGCCCTGTCTCTCCTCCATGCCAGGCGCTAACGCTAGGTTGCCAGTCTCATCATTTAATTTACAATCAACGTACGTTAGAAATAGAACATAATGTCACAAAATTCTTATGTAGTGTCAAAAAGATCTCACCTAGTATCACTTTTTAAAGTTCCGTAATACCGCCACCGCACTCGGTGGTACAGTGGGGCCAATTTATCCATTTTTATTTTCACATAAAGGCTAAACAAAATTTACTTACTTATTGTCGGTCGTAGAAAAAGTTTTATATGTATCTCGTGCCTAGTTAGTTTACGTTCCTTGCCCAGCCAAGAGCAATAAATTTCCACTTAACGCGCTGAAAATGCATAAATAGCTTTTGATCGCTTGGAACTATGTATAAGCCTCTTTTTATAAAAGGCCGCGATTGCCATTTCTTCAGGGTGCTTGAATACTCAATAGACACCTATAAGGAATAGAAAGTATTGTTTTGATCTGAATTACATCGTTTTCAGGTCCACCTGAAAAACTGTGTCCACAACGACCTCCAAGTTCCTTAGTTGCTGCTAAAAACGTAATTCCGTTGCTACTTCAGATAACGGCGTGTGCCTTATTTCAATTGGGTGCTATGTACATGCTTTTCCAACAATCATGGTTTCAGCCCATTCCAGATGATGTGACTGAACCCCAAATAGTATCTTGGGAGAATTTGGTGTTGTTCACTGTCTCCTGTTACCAATACATCATTCTAGCTTCTGTGTATTCTAAGGGGATGCCTTATAGGTAAGAATGAATATATTTTCATATTCAAGGTGGAATGTTGAAAGCTAAATTTCGCAGAGCTATTAGCACGATAACGGCAGTAACTATGTACTTCTTTTAAATTAAGATTTTATATTTTTTCAGGGAGAGGTTGAGAACCAATTACTTGTTTGTGCTATCGGCCGTAAGTTTAACAGTATTTGTTACGTGGCTACTGATATACCCATGCAAAAAGATGGCTGAATTGATGGAACTGATCGCCACTACTCCTGATGAAGAAGAGAAGTTCATGTTTAGAGTTCATTTGCTGATTTTTCCGACTTTGCATTTATTAATTGCTGTTTCTATTGAGGTAATATTTCACTACAATTATTATGTGCTATTAATTAATTAATTGTGACGTAAAACTTGAGCCGCTATGTATAAGATATTCTTTTCTATTTTAGGCTTTCATTAGCGATCAGCAGTGGTTGAAAAGATGCATCCAGTGCCTTAAACGTAAGAGTAAACCAAAAAATAAGTACAAACGTTTACTCCAGCAGAGAAATACTTTTCCGTGGCTCAATACAATTAGTACCTAAGTGTTGAATATTTACATATTTTTGATACTATAAATATGACAATACATATAAAATATACAATAATTTAATGTACATGCTTTGTGCATCAATTTTGCTATGTTATGCTTTTATAAATCCGTTTTTGTATACACGTATTCTGGTAAAATTATATGTATGTTACCAATCTTGAGTTTCATTTTTTAGTTCTAAGTTCCCAAAAACTCTTATTTATGTGACAATTTCATCAAGTTACGTATCCGTTCAAAGTACATACAAGCAGGATGTCCCAAAAGTCTGAACACACCCCAATATCACGGAAACTTCTCCCTGCAGACATTCGTCAGTGAATTTCTGACAAAAGAGCTGCAATTAGGCAAGCGAAGAGGTCTTGTCACCCAGATGACATTCACAGAGCAACGAATCTTGTTCATGAAGTGAGAAGTGCTCTTCATGAATTCCGTAATGAGCAATGGAGCGACTTTCTGTCGGGGATGCTTGACTCGAGTATTCCTCTCTGGAAAGTTGCAAAGTCGCTCAGAAACGGAAAGCGAGAACAACTCCCGCACATCCTAGGTCCTAGGGGCATAGTCTTCAGGACAGAGGACAAGGTCGAAGTTTTCGCTGATGCAATGGAAAGTCAGTTCTCTCCCAACTATGACCTTGATAATGACCTCGACGAGGAGCAACATATTGTAAGATCCGTCATTAGATATTTTAGGGCCAACGGCGTCAGTGGCAGTAGTGCCTCCCTTAGTCATTTTTCCTCAGAGGAATCTTCAGAAGAGCTGCATGGCACATCAGCGGAATCTGCTGAGACTCCGTATTGCACACCAGTAGAGCTTCAAGGTCATATTAAAGACCTCAAGGTGCGTAAAGCGCCTGGAGAGGATCGAATCACTAATAAGGCGCTGAAGCTTCATTCGCAGAAGTCCTTAACTTATCTCGTGGCAATAAACAATGCCATGCTAAGGACCCAGCACTTCCCAACGGCGTGGAAGACCGCTAGTGTCATAATGATTCCAAAGAAGGTGGGTTCGATATTCCCCCAGGATTACCGCCCCATTAGTCTACTGTCAGCTCCTTCTAAGCTCGCTGAAAAGGTGATTCTACGTCACCTTGAAAATTTCTCGTCAGACCGCAATGTGATTCCTGACGTGCAATTTGGCTTTCGGTCTGAACATAGTACGGAGCTACAGGCCATAAGGCTTGTTGAACGAGTAACGAGGGGGTTCACCCGTAACGAAAGTACTGGCATCTTGCTTCTGGATGCCTCAAAGGCATTTGACAAGGTGTGTCGCAAGTGCCTTCTCTACAAATTGATCCATAAGGGCTTCCCTTTCTGGCTCCTAAAACTTTTGGAATCCTTCCTCGAGGGTAGGAAATTTCGGATCAAAATTAATTACGTTCTGTCGACTACACGGCCCATCAAAGCCGGTGTCCCTCAGGGTTCGGTTCTCGGCCCAGTCCTTTATTCACTTTTTATTCATGACGTACCTTGCCCCAGCAACTGTGAAATCTATCTCTATGCTGAAGGCACTGCCCTGGTGGCCCAGTCGTGTTCTGGGGATCTAGTTCACGACAGGCTGCAAAGTGCAGTGGACGAGGTATTGGAATGGGCGAATCGGTAGCTGATCAAAATTAATCATTCGAAAACGCAGGCAATCTATTGTACTAAAAAACGTAGCGGCGCGGCGCCCCGTTTGAGGTTTCTGTGAATGGAGCTCGGGTACCATGGGAAAGCTCTGCTAAGTATCTCGGTGTCACTCTTGACAAGGGCATGACCTGGCAGAAGCACACTGAAGCGTCAAAAACTACATTCCAAATCTCGTTTCGGCAACTCTACCCTATGCTATGTAGAACATCAAAATTAAGTTTGATCAACAAAGTTCGGCTATACAAGATGGTTATTAGACCAGCGATCACTTACACAAGTGCGGCTTGGTGTTTTATCGCCAAAACGCATTTGCGTAGCCTGCAGGTTTTGCAGAACAGAACCTTGCGTCACTAACGCTCCATGGTATGTTTCCAACGAGACCCTTCACAGAGATCTTGCCATACCTTACCTAAGGGGTTACATCAAACAACAAGTGCAGCAACGTTATAGTCAAGCGGAATCGCATAACAACCTTTTGTTGCGGGAGTCAGTAGACTACACAGTCGAGCAAGTTCGCAAGCACACAAGGCCGCGACTCGCACTGTGAACAAAATTGAGTCGTGCGACTTTAGGTCCAACCAAAATTATAATGTTTCTTCAACAACTAATCGAAAAATTAATTTTAGGATCAATTTAAAATTGCCGAATACTAATTAGCAATGCCAAGGCACCCCTCAAATTGACGCACTTCTTTTTTCTTTGCTTTCCCTCCTTCCTTCCTTTCTTCTTCCCTTCTTTTTCCCTAACTTTGTTTGGTATCTGGGCAACCAGACCTAACAGACCTACTGACTTACAAGACTTTAACCAAGAGCAAAGGTTCTACGGACCGCTCTGACAGACAATGACGAATAGAGATCTCGGGTGCTAGAAAAAACTTTCTTACAAAAGTTTCAGCAATCGGATAGCGGATCTTGTGGTGACCTTAGATTTGACGTTGACATCCACGTTAAAAATCATACGGACTAAAGTTACATCTGGAGGTTATGGTTAATTGCTGCTCATTTATGGAATGTTGAGAAGCAGAGGAAAGCTGGAAAAGAAGAATACTCTTACTTTTAATAACTACAAATAAAGGCGATGCACATAAAAAACAAAAACCCCGATAGCACGAAATATTCATTAAATATTTATTCAGTATTTAATATTTTTGTTTTACTTAAATATTTGTTATCTTAAAGAAATATTCAATATATATTTGGAATATTGTATTTTTATTAAATATTTATTCAATATCTTTTAAATATTTTGAATACAATATTTCTTTTATAATATTCATCAAATATTTACTTTTAAATCAATGGAAAATATTGAAACTTCATTATTTAGAAAATATTAATTGAATATTTCTGGCTACGGCGCATGTGATTGTGACTTGAGTGACCAATGGCATAATGGCAAGCCGACCTGAGCCGACCCGCTTGCCGGCATTCATTTTGCCTGTGAGTTTCACTATGATAGCGATCCTGTATGGTACAAGTGGTACATTATTTGAGTATGTTTTTTTTTGTGGAAAATAGTAAGTTTTGCGATATTTACATTGGATTGGTGGATTTATCTGAAAATGAATACGAAAGTTATATTCATTACATCCCAATGAAAAGTTATATAATCACAACTTGATCGATATACATCAAAAATGCCTTTTTTTAAATATCTCAATTACCTATTATTTTTTTCGTAGTAGGCGACAAATCAGCTATAACTATTTTAAAATTTTTAAGTTCAACAGCGACATTCCAAAATTTTATCAGCCAAAAATACTATACTTTTGTCCCTTGAATCATAATATAATATCACGAAATAGTGCAAAAAAGTCACATTTCAACAAAATTATTAAGTGGTCTATTTTTAAAAACCTTTTCTTCTTTGAAAGTTAGTCAAAGGATCAAGTTGTGCCCATGGACATTTTTCATCAAGATATCTAAAATAACATACCAAATTTCCTTCTCATAGGAAGAAAATGTGGGGTCCTTTTAGGTGCATTATAGAGCTGCTTTCCAGTGACCCAGCTACCCGGAGTAACTCAACCATAACCACTTTCTAGAGTAGTTCGGGAGAATATCTCTCCCAAACAAAAGTCCACTGGAATTCAGCTTATGTATTCAATATTACTTCATAATTAGTAAGCTTGTTTTTTTAAGAGGAGTGGATTTGCAAGATGCACAAGAGGCTTAGGTTGTTTCTTAATGATATTTTTCCAGCGAATTGAACCATTATACAGGTATCTAGAACTAATTTTCTTTATAAACCCAATTTTATAAAAGCATCCCTACAGATTTTGCTAAGAAGAATTTGTATCATTTATTTCCTAATTACATATTTACGAAAAATGAGATATTTCATCAAAATATAAAATTGATTTTTAAAAATATTTCCTCATATATTTTCTAAATATTTGGAAAAAATATTGCACAAGTATATGAAGTATATATAGAACAAATATCTATAATGAATACTTTATGAATATATAAGGAATATGTTTATTAAATATTAAAAAATCTGCCGCTACAAATATTTAACAAACATTTTTTAACAATATTTTAAAAAAATGTAATGCTATCGGGGAATGTTCCCATATTTCGGTATTTTTCTCCATTTTCAGCGCTGGGATCAAAATTGAGGGTTTCCAAGTGAAAAAATCAATTTGACCTTCAAGATCATAGCCAAGATTAGAATGAAGGTCTCCATCAGATGTGCCGTTGGGTATCTTGTAATTATGGCATTCAAAGTTCTCCTTTGATATTCTTCTTTTTCCACCTGCTTCACAACATTCCATGAAAGAGCAACAGTTGCTTAAAATAACCTCTAAATGTAACTTTAATCCCTATGATATTTATACCGTTGCAAAGGACATTTATTTGGCTTTCTATTTCTGCAATAAAAATGGGGTTTCTTATTTTCTAAAAACTCAACTTGCTCTCCTTAGTTTCAGAAATACTTGGGTGTGCCTATACTTTTGGGACACCCTGTATAAACGCTGCTCAATGCCCCACAGAAAATAGGTAATGCCTGGCAGCCCTGGAATCCTGGACATTGATCTCTCTGGTATCACATTCTGTTTGAGCTGCCATGCGAAAAGAGTACTGTATAAGTTATCTGTGTTCTTTTGAGTCAAATAGTAGGTCTAGTAAGTCAGATAAATGACAATAGTCAACCTAATTTTATGAAAACTGTCAATACCGAAATCTACCTTGAGGATTTGGGTCTATTTCATTCAATTTGTGAGCCTTATCGGCTCTTATTTCACCTTACAATTGTCATTGAGCATTTAATTTTTCAGATAGAAGTACTCACAGCTAGAGTAAAGGCGAAGGATCAACTCGTGACTTACCAGACCTACATAAGGTAAGGACGGCGCAGAATAGTCATACGCATTTGATTCCATTCCTGAGAAATATATAATTTACTACGAAAAATTAGGAGCGACAAGATAGATTGAAAAAGTGGAAATAATTAATGATGGAAGTTTCTTTTCCAGCTATGACTCGATACGCTTTTGGAATCTTTATTTTGAGGCTGGTCATACCAACAATGATCCTTGCCAGTAAGTAGAATGTTGCACTATAACGTATATTCGCTAGGCTATGATGAGAGTTAATTGTTAGACTATGGGTAGTTTGTTTACATAATTTACTTTTTTACTACCAACCTGAGAAATCTAGATTATTGGCCGCAATGTCTTATCAAGAAGTAGCATTACTTGGCCCAGGTATACAATGAAAACAGAAAATGAACCTAGGTAAATAAAAATGTATTTTAGCTAAAGCTCCTCATCTAGTCCACCGTCTTGAATTTCACAATAATCGACATAATTGAACCATGATTTATGAATCTGGCATCTACCTAGAGAGGGGGTTTCAGCGGCGGCGGCAGCATTCCTGTTCGTTGCAAATTGAAGAGCTCCAAGGGGTCTTCTATGGTACTAGTTTTTCAGTTATAGTTAATTCTTTATTAAATATGCTCAGCAATGCCATAACCAGGGATAAAAAATATCAGATTATCCATGAAAACAAAATAAAACTAGTGGATTAGTTACAACCTTCAGCCTCCCTAACGGTATCAAATTTCATACATCTAAAACCGGCCGTTACGACCGCTCCTTTGTTCCTGGGGTGTCGAGATTGTGGAACAATCTATATGAGGAGGCGTTCTCGGTTCCACTAACCTTAGGCAGGTCAAAAATCGGGTTAATCAAGATTCTAATGCCCTTCCTAGCAGCCTAGCTCCTGCCTGCGCGGCTGCTTCAGTATAACAAAATGTCTGACTATAAGGAAGCTCATAGTTACTATAAAATATGAAATCATCATTGATTCAAATTTCAGATTGGACATCAATGGAATACCTTAGACCTTTAGAGCATATCTATTAATAAAATTAATATTGACAATGTTGTCACGGGCCAGGGGTGCTGAAGGCGACCCTTCGCTCCTTTATCAAATAGTTACGTTTACCAATAATGAAATACAGAATTGGTTTCATCTTTTAATAGAAAACCTTAGAAAAATATATACAGGGTGGCGCATCAAAAACGGAACAGACGCATTTACTGGCAGGTCAGTTTTTTTTTTAAAACGCTCAAACCTGTCGGTTTTGTTTTCGAGGGGGACACAAGTTTGGCAAAAAATCACGTTAGCACGTGCAGCCACCTAAGCGGGGGTGACACCACCCCCACAATCTTAAATGGAAAGGGGGATCGAGTGATACCTTATTTTAAAGGTCTTTCAATTCCCTTTATAATGATATAAAATTAATGTACTTCAGTTCTGTAGTTTTGAAGATTTATTCATTTAAAGTTTAAATAAAACTAATACATCATCATTAGTGGAGATCAATACATTTGGCAGCAAAGTAATTTAAAAATCAAGAATGAACTGACCCGTTAGGCAAGTAAATGTTGAAAATGACCTCCATGACTCTCCATGCAATAATAAAGATTTTTCTCAAAACGTTGCCGCACATTTTGCAATATTTGAGGAGTAATTTGAAGGCACTCATTCACAATTTTTTGTCGCTCTAATGAAAGTATATTTATATTTAGCGCGGAGGGGATAAACATATCTGTGAAAGATTCTCATAGACCACGCTACGGTAACTCAATTCTCTAGAGATAATTTTTTGGATTATGCTGATTTTTACTCCTCCCATGCCATCCCCTTGATCTGCAGCATAGTTTTATCTAATTGTAGGCATTATAGTGCGACCTTCTCTCATGGGGTCGATCTACCTGGGTATGCTCTTGTACCTGCCGTATTTGGATTTGATAGAGAATGAAAGGTTGAATAAAGGCGCATTCAACTATGTCATGACATTTGTGCCATACCAAACTGCAGCTATTCAACTAGGATTCTATCTGTACACTATCAGTACAGATGAAATACATTTAGAGGTAAGAGACATGAGCAAAACTCTTTTGTAATCCGTTATAAATATTGTAATCTGAAGCTGCTGTTATTTTCAACAACTCAGTGAAAGGGCTATTTAATGATTTTGATAACATCTCAGACATTTTCAAAGCAAAATTGCCAGTTCTTCTACATAAAAAAATAAGGAAAAGAAAAATACATTTTTAAAAACAAGCGTTTATTTAGCTGTTAATAAAACGACCAGACATCTAAAAATATTTTTTCCATTTATGAAATACCCCATTTTATACTTTTTAGACTTTAAACGAAAATAAAGCTCCTTTGTCTCAAGTTTTCAACATGTTACAATAATTTTTTCCCGTTGCTCTTAAAATGTCCACGCTTTCACTTGAAAACCTACTGCGAAATAACGTTCAGAGGTTCAGACGTATAAAACGTCATATTTCCAATCAGAAAAAATGATTTCTGATTTTCTGATTATATCTATAACCATATTTGTTCAATCTACTGAAAATCGTATCTTTATTCTAGCCAACCATACAGCGTTAAAAGGCTGAAATAGATTTACATTGCATAATTATCGACTAACTTAATCATTATACTCTATATATGGGACCTGATTATTCATCAACGAGAATCAAATCTGTCCCATTTCGATGAGTTTGCATAGATTTAATACGGAGTTCCCATGGTCACCTTCCAGCTCCATCATCAGACACGTCCGCCATATTGAATTTAGAATGACGTCGCTTTACTTCTTCTTCGTTGTTCATCAAACCATTTCGTTTGATACTCATATCATAGGCTGAATATGATGAAGATTATAAAAACATAGCATAAAACAAAGGCAAACCGAACAATCAGTAATATCAGTCTTGGCTGTTGCTATTAAAAAAGTGTTAGATTATACAACTGTTGCCTGAAGGTGTCATTTTGGCTAACTTTTAGGCAGAAATTCTATTTTTTCAGTGTTCAAGTATTTTTTCAGTTGTCCCATAAAATTCAAGCCTACTGATTGATATCCGTTGAAGTATCAGCGAATGTTCATAGTATACACATACTTGGTGAAGAAGTACGCCATTATTAGCCAAGCGCTTTCATATAATTTGTGATAACAATAATGCCTTCTCCACCGAATTACCTATGTAAAGACTCTTTCCGCTACTATGATATATAACTACAGTTATATCTGATACTTTCCTCAAAGTTTGGCAACACTGTCAGATGATGCCGCCGCTGCATAATAATGTGCGATAAGGATAGATGACGTCGACACATCATTCTCAAATCTATGAAGTAACTGTCAAAATAAAAAAATAAAATAAATCACAACAGATAAATGGGCATATTGGATTTAGAATGATGTCAATTTGCGTATTATGTTTATTTTATCAGGCTCTTTCGTTGGATATCCATATCATAGGGAATATGGAAATAATAAATCGTCATTTTGCGGCGGCCGCCATATTGGATTTAAGAGCATGAACAATGGAGGACGCCTTTATGGCCTCCTTGATTTTCATATTTTTATACTGATCCGTTTCAGCGCTTTATTTTGAGGTTATGTAACAAATATCTATTTGCATCAACTTGTCTATGCTTTTGATTTATATCATTTTGTATCAGTCTGAAACGCTAGTAGAAATCTAGAAATATCGCAGCCTTTTTGAAGGGTAGAAAACGCTATGTAAATCAAGGAGGCCATAAAGGGGTCCTACAATAATTGTAGGAACGACTGACGATACGGCAATAAGGTACTTAAAAGGCTAATACTGGGTGATTCATTTATAGGTACTTTTTTCAGCAACAAAATAAAATAAAACTCTTTTTTCTTGTAAAATCTTTTTTATTAAAGAAAAGAACTATATTTGACATTTATTTTTTAAATATTATTTCTTTCAAATGTTGGTCATGACTGCAGTTGAGATGGTCCATTCTGAAGTTCCAATTTCCGATGACACGTTGGTGCATTTCGACTGGAATTTGGCGAATAACCTGCGTAATGTTGGCTTCTAATTCCACAATCGTATTGGGCTTATCAATCTAGACTTTGGACTTAACGTAGCCCCAAAGGAAAAAGTCTAGAGGTGTGATATCACATGATCTAGGTGGCCAATTCACTGGTCCAAATCGTGAAAGTAAGTGTTCATCGAAATGTTCTCGCAAAAAAGCCATGGTTGCACGGGATGTGTGGCAAGTGGCGCCGTCCTGTTGGAACCAAATGTCATCGAGATTCAGTTTCAGGCACCAAATAATCCGTTATCATGGCGCGGTAACGAGCACCATTCACAGTTACGTTCTGACCGGCCTCATTTTTAAAAAAAAACAGGGACCGATGATTCCACCGACTCATAAACCACACCAAACCGTTGTTTTCGCTGGATGTAATGGCAGCTCTTGAACCACTTCGGGTTGTTCTTCACCCCAAATACGACAATTTTGTTTATTAACGTAGCCGTTAAGCCAAAAATGGGCCTCTTCTTCAAGCCGTGCAAGAGCCCAAAGACTGAAACGATGACGCTTTGGAAGGTCGGCCGGCTTCAATTCTTGAACGAGTTGAATTTTGTATGGTCTCAAATTAAGATTCTTACGTAAATACGCCAAGTTGTTGAATACGACAAGTCAAGCCAATCGATTCTTCACGTTCCTCACGTATACTCTCAGCTACCGCAGCTATATTTTCTTCACTGCGTACTGGATGTGGTCTATTTGGTCGGGTATTATCCAATAATGAAAATTGGGTTTCAAATTTTTCGACCGTACGGCGAATTGTGCGTTCGGTGGGCCGATTATGTACACCATAAGTTGCTCTAAGTGCACGAAACACACTTCTCGCAGAACGTTGATTTTCGTAGTAAAGCTGAATCATTTGTAGACGCTGTGCCGGACTAAGTCTTTCCATGATGAAATGTCGAACAATACTGAAACAGAAAATGTCAAATTAGTTGTCATGACGCATGCGCCATAAGCAATTACAGCCACACCAAAAAAGTACCTTTAAATGAATCACCCGTTATATGTTTACGTCTATGATGATTCCTAAAAGCTTTTGCAGTGCTGTTAATATTTTTTCAATCCAATTACAAAATCGAGAGACCATAATTCCTGCATACCAATTAGAATATTGGACACATAAGCACTATGATTATTTATATTACTTAGGAATTGCATCTAATGTAAGTACTCTTAAATTCGATTTACAATCTTGGACTAGCATGTCTGACCATGGCTCACTCTAAAGTACGTATTTAGATGCTAAGAAGCTCTTTGTCTTGAGTTTGGACTTGTTACACACTCCCGCATTTTTTGTTGCATAAATGATACGAGCATTTTAAATTACTACCGTAGGAAAATGCCAATATGCTTAGATTGTTCAAGAGCCTTGGAATGTCTACATTAGACGATCTCAGCGCGTTCCAAGTCTACTGTTGGGTCGGTCCAGAAGGTCTAATGGTGATTGTGTCCATCTTGTACCGTTGGTCGATGGGTATGATCGGCAAAGGTAACACACACGAGTCTGAAGAAACGAACGAAAAAGCTGAGTTAGAGGCGAAGAAAGAAAAGATGAGCTATTTGAAACTGTCAACTACTATAGGTAAGTTCGTAGGAACGGCTTTCTTAAATTGGTTCTTCACAGTGGTCGCAGGGCGCTGGTCTCGCGCCTCTACACGGCACAATATACAGGGTGCGGAATCAGGTTCACAAGGAAATAGCATTTGAGACAGTCAAGTGTGGAAAATCACATCAGGCATGGGGTGGCCGAAATCGTTGATGCAGTGCTGGAGGCGTTCTTGGAAGTTCGCGTAGACTCTCTCCAACATCGTTCTCTCAACTTGGGCGACTTCCACGCGAATTTCGCCCTTCAATTCGTCCAGACTTCGGGGCTTGTTCGCGTATACTCTAGCCTTGAGGTGTCCCCATAAGACAAAATGAGGTTCTCATTTTGATCGATCAATGCTTCCATCTCACGTGCGAATTTCATTCGTTGTGCACTAAGGCGAAGTGCAGCAGCATGTGTCCGGGCAGATCGAGTCGGACTGTCGAACGAGTTCAAAATTTTCAGGAGTTCGAACTGTTCGCGGCGCTCCTCTTGGTCTTCTGTTGATCAGTTCACCACGCCTGCGAAGTGATTCAACCCAACGAAGGATGGTGTTTCGAGGGGAAACAGATCTATTCCGATGAATGTTGAGGTGGCGACGAAACACGCTGTATGACGATGACTGACTCATTATTTCGGACGAAACAATCATAGGCGAAAGCGCGGTGATCCACCGTCCAAGGCTCCATAACAACTGGTAAAATAATGCTAGGATCTCACGAGTCAAACGGCACCCTTCCCAACTCTCTCGTAGACGGAGGCGGAGAGTACTACCCATCCCAAAAACGTCCGTCCTCTCTGCCGCACCCTGTACAACCGGAAACCTGGCAAAATTGATAGAAAGTGCAACTGGCACAAATCATTTCCGAACACGTGACTTTGACAGGTCTTTCTCCAACACAACCACGGTTTTTAGTGCTTTTTTAGTAAAAAATTCAAGCAAAATGAAAAGAAACAATTATTTTGATATTCTATTAAAATGAACTAAAGGTTTAAGAACATCTTTTCGGATTAAAAATGTTTAAATAGTCTGTGCGAAGCTAGCGCTCCAGCGCTTATTCTGCAAGACCAATGATTTTAATAAAGATGTGTCCTTTTTCAGGCAAAAGTTTTACGGTTTTTCTCATTTTTGTCGTTGCTGTATGGCAACACACATTTTTTGGAGTTTGTTACTACCTGATATTCTTGTTCATCATAAGCATGTGGGCACTGAATCAGGCACTAAGTAGTCACGTTTCTATGGTGCTTAAGTTAAGCTCACCTATACTTTTAGTACACGTAGTTGGGATCTACGTCTTTCAGATAGAGGGAATCCAGTTCAATTTATTGGATAAATCAACGGTACTAAGGTAAGTCCAGCATGCTTTCACGGGGAATCTTTAATTTTTTTCTGATTTACGTAGGAAATAACGGTCATTTATTCCAATGATCCATGCCATCAGTAAAATCAGAATTTAAAAATGCGCTGATATACAGGGTGTTTCAGTTTATTTGTTGCATAACTTTAAGATTCGATAGAACTTTTAAAATTAATGCATAAAGTCTATATAAACATGGGTCGAAAAATGCGTGGCTTCCGAAATACAGGGTGTTTAAATTTACTTTCTAAGATAGTTTTTTTTTTAAATATTTCGAACAATATTTGATGTATAACAGTGAAAATTGGTATACAAGGGTTTTTTGGTACGACAAAACGAACCATGGGCATAGTTTTACTGTAGCCGCTAGAGGGCGCTCTCTACTGTACCTGTAGTGTATTAAAATGACCGAAAATTTTTCTTAGTGCAATTTTTTGCTTTTTGAATAAAAAAAACTGATTCTTCGCACTTTTAAACATAAAGAAGCTCTCTCGTGAGTTTTCGTTATAGTTAGCTGTTTTTGAGATATTTCGATTTTTAAGGTTCGATGCATTTTTATTTATGGGAAAATAATATTTTTTTACATTTTCGATTTGGGCATTACAACTAATTAAGATGATCGTTTAGATTGTGTTTTTAAACACAGCAATGATTCCTAACTCCAAATAAACACAAAAAAACAGAATATTAATTTGTTTAATTTTCCAATATTATTTTTAACAAATTAAATTAATTATTTTCAACTAAAATGCTATTGGCTGGTTAGGACAAACATACAAAATCTAAAGTAGTTGCTCGAAATGTAAACCCAATTGTTCAATACACAATTCACATCTACGAATGATCGATTATTCAAATAAGGCCTTATTTCATCACATGCATTCCTGATTCTGTCTATTAGCATATCTCTTGTGGTTAAGGGAGTCTGGTATACTTTTTCTTTTAGAAATCCCCACACAAAGAAATCTAATTATTTAGGTCAGGGGATCGTAAAGGCCAGGCGACTGATCCTCCACGGCGATCCATCTTTCTGGATAATTTTCGTCCAGCCAGTTTATAACTATTCTCGAATAATGAGCTGGACAACCATCAAGCTGGAACCAGGTCAATCTTCTTAAATCTAACATAACATCATCCCACATATTTGCGTGTTCAGCCTTTAAAAATTCCAAGAAGGTCACAGCATTTAACCTTGCAGGCAAAGGGTAGGGTCCAAATAGTCGATTACGGTAGATACCAATCCACACGTTCACACTAAATTCATGCTGAAAATTTCTTTCCCGAACTGCATGCGGATTTTCATGCGACCAAATATGTTGATTATGAAAATTTACCACTCCACGTCTAGTGAAGCATGACTCATCGGTCCATAAAACGTTACTTAAAAACTCCCTATTATTATCAGTTCTATCAAGAAACCACTGACAAAATGTGACTCTTCGTTCTCCGGCCCCTGGCTGTAGTCCTTGCACAGGTTGCAAATAGTAAGGACGTCTATGGTCATTTCTAAGAACACGGTGAACATGGCTTGCTGAAATTCCCAAGGCACCAGAAACTCTCCTAACACTTGTGGTCGGATCTCTATCAAACTCACGCAGAATCATACGGGTAAATCTGCGCTGTGAACATTTATGTTTTGATCGCTTTGGAGATTTCCAAAACCATTTTCAATTATTTGGCGATGCACTCTTACAAATACTGAGCGAGTTGGATGGCGTCTTTTTGGAAATCTTCGTGCGTATTCTCTGGCTGCTTCTGCTGCGTTTCCATTTACAAAGCCATACACAAAATGAATATCCGCTAACTCTTGATTGGAGAATAAAAATGGCATTTTTATAAAACTTAAAAAAAAAATAGGTTTCAACAGACAACAAAGCTAACTGTCAACTAATTGACGTTTAACCTTATTCTGCTTTCAATTTCAAAAATATTTGCAGGCACAGCCTACTTCTAAAAATTATCGAGATACTGACTTTTTAACGTTATTTTATCATAAATAATAAAAAATGCATCGAACCTTAAAAATCGACATATCTCAAAAGCGGCTAACTATAACGAAAATTCACAAAAAAACTTTTTTATGTTGAAAAGTGCGAAGAACCAGTTTTTCTATTCAAGAAGCAAAAAATTGCACTAAGAAAAATTTTTCGGTCATTTTAATACACTACAGGTACAGTAGAGAGCGCTCTCTAGCGGCTACAGTAAAACTATGCCCATGGTTCGTTTTGTCGTACCAAAAAACCCTTGTATACCAATTTTCACTGTTATACATCAAATATTGTTCGAAATATTTAAAAAAAACTATTTTAGGAAGTAAATTTAAACACCCTGTATTTCGGAAGCCACGCATTTTTCGACCCATGTTAATATAGACTTTATGCATTAATTTCAAAGGTTCTATCGAATCTTAAAGTTATGCAACAATAAACTGAAACACCCTGTATACTCACGCAGAATCATACGGGTGAACATTTATGTTTTGATCGCTTTGGAGATTTCCAAAACCATTTTCAATTATTTGGCGATGCACTCTTACAAATACTGAGCGAGTTGGATGGCGTCTTTTTGGAAATCTTCGTGCGTATTCTCTGGCTGCTTCTGCTGCGTTTCCATTTACAAAGCCATACACAAAATGAATATCCGCTAACTCTTGATTGGAGAATAAAAATGGCATTTTTATAAAACTTAAAAAAAAATAGGTTTCAACAGACAACAAAACTAACTGTCAACTAATTGACGTTTAACCTTATTCTGCTATCAATTTCAAAAATATTTGCAGGCACAGCCTACTTCTAAAAATTATCGAGATACTGACTTTTTAACGTTATTTTATCATAAATAATAAAAAATGCATCGAACCTTAAAAATCGACATATCTCAAAAGCGGCTAACTATAACGAAAATTCACAAAAAAACTTTTTTATGTTGAAAAGTGCGAAGAACCATTTTTTTTATTCAAGAAGCAAAAAATTGCACTAAGAAAAATTTTTCGGTCATTTTAATACACTACAGGTACAGTAGAGAGCGCTCTCTAGCGGCTACAGTAAAACTATGCCCATGGTTCGTTTTGTCGTACCAAAAAACCCTTGTATACCAATTTTCACTGTTATACATCAAATATTGTTCGAAATATTTAAAAAAAACTATTTTAGGAAGTAAATTTAAACACCCTGTATTTCGGAAGCCACGCATTTTTCGACCCATGTTAATATAGACTTTATGCATTAATTTCAAAGGTTCTATCGAATCTTAAAGTTATGCAACAATAAACTGAAACACCCTGTATACCACGTCTATTTCGACGGCTCAATCCGTATAGGGTCTATGTATACGGGGTGTTTTAGAAAGGCGTGCCAATCTTTCTAGGGTAGAAAGCACATTCAAAAATAACAATAAACGTTTCTAAAAATTTTTACAAAGATGCTCCCCTACCAAGATAGAGGGTGATGGTGTTTTATTCACGAAATTGGAAAAAATATATCAACGGAGCTGGTAAAGATACTGAGAAGATTTTTGACGTTCATTAAACCTTTCGTGGCGATATTATGTAAACAAACCTATAAAACGTCAAAAAAAAAACAACAAAATGTCATCTTGCAATCTAGTGATATTTGCTTTGTGAGAAAATGATTACTGAATATGCTGCCAATGAAGTATATCTTTTAGCTGTGCCCGACGGGTTATTTATATGTTGTCCTTTCTGAAGACAGGTTATGTTCAAAGTTATAAATTACGATTTTTCCCGTTTTTTGAGTTTCCAACAACTTTGAGGAGCACTACGAGAGATCGCCACCGCGCCCGCGTTGTGTGCAATTAAGAAGCAACACAGCAAAATTAGTAATGACGACAAACATTTTCGCAATGCCTCACATCTAGGTGCTGATTCTTATTTTCTATTGACATCGCAAAATAAATTTCTATAAAATTTATATGACTGGAAAAAATAGTGTGATAACCTTTTTCACTTTCATAAGTATTCCTGTCTGTAGCATATTTCCTCACCTATTCCTTCACCAACCAGGAATTTTCTGTTGTCTCTCTCATTTTTGAAATTCAGCAAATTTGCATATACAGGGTGTCCGCAAAGTTGGAGTTTTCCTTTACACGACGAGTAGATCTTGAAAACATAAGCAATTTTTCTTAGTACCATATACACCAATGTCTTAAGGGAACCGAGATAAAGGGCTCTGCAACATCAAAAATATCTGAATACCATCCTGTAGCCGTGATCCGCGACATCACCGACTGGTCACTGGCTCAACCCGACGACAGAACTGGGTCGGGGTCAGTGTGTCAGGTCAGTATGCAACCTTCAACCGACGGTTACGGTCACGCGTGTAGAGGTAAACGAACCCGTATAATCGATTGCGTTTAAAAGAACAACAAGCACTAGAGACGAAGTGTGGCAAACGCTGCGTGAAGCAGGGCTGTATCCGTTTCACGTCCAACGTGTACAAGCCCTTCAACCTGACGATTTTCCAGCAAGAGTGCGGTTTTGTGAGTGGTTGTTGCATCAACATGACAATAATCCGGACTTTTTGAAGTGCATATTGGTGACAGACGTATCTACGTTCACGGGTAATGGGGTGAATAACTTTCGCAACACTCATGTTTGGTCTGTAGAAAATTCGCACGCTGTCCGTCGGGCACATTTTCAACAAACATTTTCGGTGAATGTTTGGGCTGGCATGGCTCATTGGACCATTTATTCTCCCAAATTTGTCATATTTGTTACCGCTGTTCGTGGTCTGCACCACAACCGGCGTCTGCTCGGTAGCGCATCAGCTAATTTCATTTTCTGTTGGAGCGGTATGATTTCGGGCAGAGACGTATACTTTATCTGAAGTCACTTGAAATAGCATAAAAACCTTTGGTCGGCGCGTCCTTTGTAATTTCATGACGTATCATAGGCGTGCGGTTATTTATTTAGATCGATAATAATAATGTTTTTATATCACAATAAATGGATTTTACTATCTTCTTATTTTTTT